CTTTGTCACATGAAAGCAGCAGTCTTTGACTGGTTTCTTTTTGCTTGCCTCACCTTAACCTCATTCACCCTTCACAAAACCACCAGATAGCTCTTTTGGACAAATCTTACCTTTCAAGAAGCATTGCAAGGGCAAGAAAACCAGTTAAGGTTTAGGGCTGGAGCTGCCTGTGTTTGGGAGGACTTGCTTCAGTGATCCAGACAAGTCCCTTCTGGACAGATGGTCATGAGTTCAAGGAAGAGCTTGTTAGAGCAAGGTACAGCATCAAGGGAGGTTAAAATGCATTGACATGTTTTATGGGCTTTCCTCCACCTTGCTTGCCAGTTGCATTCTGTTACTCACTTGTCCTCCACCTTTTTTATCTCATTTGCTAAACTCATTTGCCTGCTTCTCTTCATCCTCTCCTGTTTGATGTTCATTAGGCCAGTAATTACTTCTAATTCAGTGCTTATGAACTGAGGCTGGTATTTATAAATCTTCATGCCAGGAGTTCAACAGTTGTTCTTAGATGTCCAAGAGAAAGTCAAAGCTGTTGACATAAGTAGGAGTCATGAACTCCTAATGTGTAACAGTCCTGTGCTGCAGTTTGCACACTGCAGAGGGGTGAGGAGGAGGTATCTGTTAGGCTTTTGGCCAGTTGGTTATTCACATGGCTCATTTCAGGGAGGAGAATAGCTTTAAGTCCTCCCCTAGCAGCTGCAGCCATGCTGAGGAGAAAACAGGGCAGTTTACACCAGCTGGCAGCAGCAAAGCTCAGCCTCCTGGTCAGTCACCTCAGCTCCCAAGTGCCTCGGCCACCCACATCTGCAAGCTGGAAGGAAGCTTGAAACGAAGAGAGACATAAAAGGATACATATGTGGGCTGACATAAAAAGTAAGGGAGTTATCCCTAGAACATTGTTTTATTTACTTACAATCTTTAGTTAGGTTTTCTGCAAATATATAGCAGTACTTGAAATACCTGCCTTTGAATTAACCCACTGATACATTTCCATTCCTCACCTTTTGTCCTTTCCATACTTATGTGTGGCAGCATCTCATAATGTGCTCAAACATTGGTGTCTGATGGGGCAAACTGCACCTAGTGGGTACAGTAAATTATCCCTGGGTGAAAAAGTACAGCCCTATTAGCAACTTTGTGTCTGTGCTAGAGGTGTACAGAGTAGGACTTACTGAGCAGAAACAAGGAGAAGCTAATTTGAGAGCTTTCATCCTGGCACATGCCTGTAGTGACCTAAAATCAATACCAGATGTCATAGTAGTCTCAATAATATCTTAAGAGCCAGCAATCTTCAGTAATAATGAAACATGGCTTATAAAGAACGAAATATATAAGATTGTTCATATACATTTATACCATCTCTTTTTATGTGGGTGTATTCACGCTTAAGTGATCAGAATTCACATATAAGAACTGTATTAAAGACTAACTTATGTAACAACTTTCATCATTTCAAGTTAGGTTTAGTTTCTGAGCTAGATAATTAAATCCTCTGCTGTAGTGCAAATCAGATTAAGCCTCAGTTAACATACATAGCATTTTTGTTATAATTTTTAATTCTGTGAACAAATAACTAGCTCTCACAAGAGCATCGCTTGTAGCACATTTAAATATTGGGCAGATACAAGCATAATTTTCTGTAATGAGATTCACTTTAAGAGGGAAATAAAAGCTTTTCTCAGAAGGTAGTAAGCCACTGGAACAGGTTGCCCAGAGAAGTTGTGGATGCCCCATCCCTGGAAGTGTTCAAGGACAGGGTGGGTGGGGCTCTGAGCAGCTGAGTCTAGTGGATGGCATCCTTGTCCATGGCAGGGGGACTGGAACTAGATCATCTTTAAGGTCCCTACAAACCTACGTCTGTCTGTGATTCTATGAAAAGAATATAATCTTTTCTGGATTTCGTATCAATGAAGTGCATTAGTAATAACCGCATTCTTTTAAGAAGGAACATTAGGGAGCAAGGCAGAAGTGGCCCTTCTTTCCAGATAGTTTTCTGGGGCTAAATCAGCTGACTAGGTGGTTCAGTTGCTTTTAAATAAAGTACTGAATTATCACTAGTGATCAGATTGAGGTTACACATTGAATATCATCATGTGTAAATTGTGATTTTAAGAAGCACAGTCAGAATGGTACACATTCTGCCTAAAACAATTGCATGTTTCAAACAATTTCTAAGTTGTTGTGTTTGTCTCATGTAGGTCATGGTTCATTGTCAATAGCCTTTGCTTCGATAAGCAAAAGGTGTTTACCATACATAAAGAAATAGTAAGCAGTCCAAATGTAGCCAGCGTTACTGAGGCACCTAACCTGTGCCTGTAGAAGGGTAATAGAAGTAGTACTGTGCAGCTGTGCTCTGCACTGTGGTTCCAGAAGAGGTGTTCCATCAGCTTACTGAACATAATTAACAGGATTTTCCTTACGAAATTCTGTAACATAAAAACCACAGCTGAAAGTTAGTTTATAATGAGTGGTTTTTTACTCACAGGTTGTTTGCAGCTAAGATATAAATTAAAATTTAAGACCAGCTTTCCCTGGATTCATCATTCATTTGTGGAGTGCTTTCTTTTCAAGAGCTATTCATCAGTCCTACTGTTATGGCTGCACAGCTCCTGAAGTATCTGCAGCCCTCCCATTTTGCATTGTAACTTGGTCCCTTTTGTAGAGTCAGTAAACTCTGTAACATAAGAAAGGTGGCATAATGGCAGATTTAACTGTGACTTTTGGAGCTGCTCCCTCGCTGTGGGCCCACTGAACTGTTCATGATCTCTAAAGGGAGCCTGTGATACCTATTGTCTAGGTCTGTGGTTAGCCAGAGTGGAGTAGGAATGAATACCTTTCTCAAAAATCATGGTGCAAGACCCAGGAGAAAGTGCCCTGTCTCCTCTGCAGTACAGGAGAGTACAAGCTAACAAACTGCAACAGTTAGTTTTTTAAATAAATAACCATGAATTCCCCTATTTCACCAGAGCAGACAAAATAAACACATTTTGACATAAATCTCTGCCTGTCTTTCCCCTTCCTATGCCTCCCTTGCACAGTCAGACATCTCTTCAGTTTTACTCTCTTCTCCAGCTGCTTTTGGTGTCTCTCAGCAGTTACTAATTCTATGTGTATTTCATGAGTAAGGAGAAATGTCTTTCTCCACATCACCTCTGAAGTTTATCTATGTCACAAGCAACCCCCAGTTCCTCTCAGCACTATCCCAAGTCACAGTTGTGCCCCGTATTTCCCCTCTATACCCATCTCTTGTTTCCCTCCCCCTATCCTGCTGAACTGTGCTTTCTTCCCCTTTGAAGGACAGCAGCCAGCATAAAAGGGAAGGCCGGTCACCTGCCTTTCTGGTCTCCTCTCCTTTCCTGTTTCTTTTTGGCAGAAAAGCTAACTCTGGTGGCCATCTGCCTGGTGCACACCCAGCTGTTCTCACTCCTCCTCCTCCACAGAACGGGGGAGAAGATAAGGTGCAAGAGCTCAAGGCTCAAGATAAAGGCAGGAAGATCACTTACCAGTTACCTTTATAGGCAAATAGGACTCAGTGCAGGGAAGAGTAACTAATTGCTAATTAAAAGTAGCTTAGGATGGTGAGAGCCACCATCCCCAGCCCCCTTTTCCAGGACTCTACTCCTTGATTCCCAGCTCTTCTCCCTCCGCCATCCCAGGCGGATGGGGACTGGGGGCTCTGGTTAATCCATGATTGTTCCTCTCTGCTGCTGTTCCTGCTCACACTGTTCCCATGCTCCATTGTGGGTTCCCTGTAGATAGTAGTTCCCATCAGGACCGTGTGCTCCAAGGACTGCTCCATTGTGAAGAACCTTCTCCCTTCCATCTCCTTGCACATCGGTATCTCAAAGCTGTTTCACATGATCCCAGAACTGTTAGTATTGGAAGTGACTTCTGAAGATTAACCAGTCCAACACCCCCAACAAGCCAGGGTCACCAGGAGCAGGTAACACAGGAACACATCCAGGTGGGTTTTGAATGCCTCCAGGGAGGGAAGCTCCACAATCTCCCTGTGCAGCCTGTTCCTATGCTTTGCCACCCTCAATGTAAAGTGTTTCTCACACTCTTTTCCTCTCACTTCTTTCTTGGCCAGTTGTTTCACCTTTTCTTAAACCTGTTTTCCCTGAGACACCTCTGCTGTCTGCAGGGCTCAGCTGTGCCCAGCAGTGGGTCAGATGCAGTGAACGGACCCGTCTGTGTCTGCCACAGGGCAGCCCTGGCTGCTCTTTATACAAGTCCCTGTGGCTGTTGCTGCCAGGACCCGGGCACTTACTCCATTGCCATGCAGTATGGATACTGTAAGCTCTGGACAGGTAAAACAATCCTGCAATTCCTGATCTTCAGATATTTGTAAGACATGCAACTGGGTGATTTTTCAAAAAAATGTGTTAGCCCTGCTGACGCTGGTCACCTGAATGTTGGTTGCCTGTGTGAGGTTACACATAGTGTGGAGTGAAGGATCCTTCAGAGGCTGACAACAGTGTTGAATTATATCAGAAATCAGGAGGACTGGGGTTTTGGATGCCTAAATTTTGAGTGGAGTGACATGGATTCCATCCTGATACCTCACAATGAACACTCAGAATCAGAAATTGCTCCTGAAATTTTGCTGTCAAATGTACTCTTGAGTGTTCTGTGTTGTACAAAGCAGATGTAACCCTTTCCCTTCTTCCCTTTCCCTTTGCTTTGTGAAGTCAGGCAGCATAAGTTACTTATAGTAAACTGGGTTTTTGTTGGATGCGGTCTGAGCAGTGATGTTTCGGTACTGCTGAGTGCATTGGTGTAGCCTCCGTGAATTCACAGACCTGCATGCCCCTGGAAGTCCTCACATCCAGCTGTGGAACCACTGGGTGGCTTTGTCCACCTGTCAGCTGATTTGGGAAGCTCAGAACAAGCACTGCTCTCCAGCCGGAGCAGGCAGATGTGTTGTGCGTCCTGATGTTGTTCTGGGACAAGATTAATTTCAGTACACTCATATTAATCTATTATATGTCTCTTTCCAGCACAAATGGACCCCCGAGGCCTATCTCCCAGACAAATTAAAAGTGACAGTGATGATGACGACCTGCCAAATGTGACCTTAGATAGCGTTAATGAAACTGGATCTACAGCGCTCTCCATAGCCAGAGCAGTACAAGAGTAAGTATCATGTTCCCAGACAAGATGAGTGTTGTGAGGTGTGCCCAGGCCGACGGAGGCACCGGTGCTGCAGGGCTGTCCTCCTGCCTGCAGGCAGCATACTTGCCAGCACTTTTTCCATGGAGCTTTATTCCCTTTTCTGGAAGAGATGACTGTATCTCTTGTCTCTCTCATGATCTTTTCCTTTCTTTCTCTCTGCCCTCATTATTAGGTTGAGTTTCATATTGAAGTTGTTTCTTCCCCTTTATATAGTTGGAAAGTGGTTTTATATCCTCTCCAAAGAGAGACTAGGTTAGATTACCACTCAAAAACAATGTATTTTTTCCTTGACTGAAAGCAGCATCAGGAAGTTGATTCTAGTTGCTGTCAGATAGGAGCTAGCAGCATTTCTCCTGAAGGACAGTATCATTGGAAGGAAATTACTGAGGGCCTTTGAACAATTTTCCACTGTGGTTATTTTTCTGTGTACTTTTGCAAACTGGGTGGACAAATGATTTCTTAATTTAGTACCTGCACTGCTTGTTTGAAAAGAAAGAAGCAGTTTATCCTGAATATTTGCAATTCTGTAGATGCATGAGGTTGGTCAGTCACTGTAGCAGCTGGAAGGGAACCAACTGTGAGGTAAATTAAGTATTAATATCCCCATTTTATAGGTGAGGAAAAGGAGGTTATGCATAAAGGTCACCCTGTAGGTCTGAAACAGAGCTGGAAATAGAACTAGAGCCTCCAGGCACTGAAGCCTGTGCTAGACCCACAAAACACGTTACTTTATCTGAGAGGTTCAAAATTTGGGCATTCGGGACATTATTAAATAAAAATTGGTATTATGAAGACTATTAGACATTGCTGTTGTATAAGTTATTATAGATTCATTTTAAATGTCTTAATATGGTATCTAAAAATGTTTTGCTTTGTTTTCCTGGACATCAGCAGCTAAAAGAGCTGACATTTCTAAGCCACGTTTGGGGAAGTACTGCCTTCGGGTTTTTTGGGGTTGGTTTTTTTTTTTTTTTTGCGTTTCTCCAAACATGAAGTACCTCATCTTCCAGCCAAGCACTATAACTGTGAATCTCAAACTAAAATTCTCTTTAAGCAGAGAGAGAGAAGTGTTTGTGGGCAAGCCAAGACAAGGTGTTGGCTCTGTGATTAGAAGGCTCCCTTTTAACAGTGATAAGGGAGGGGAAGGATTTTTTGCCAGTGAGGCTATTGCTTGATAGACAGGTTCCATATGTATTTTCAATTTTCTAGTCACAACAGCAGGCCCTGAAGTGCTAAGTATTTTTTCTCAATTTATAACACACATAGTAAGCCAGAAAAATAAAACCATACGTCATGATTTTGCGCTGTCTAGTTACTGAACAAAGGAAGTATGGAGCACTAGCAAGTAATTTTAATATATGACTGGCAGGCAGATACTGTTCTCTGCGATGGACATTGCTTGAACACTTAGAGAATTGGTCAAACCATGGGAAGCATTTTTAACTTTTGTATGATGCATTCCACAGTTTGTGAAGGTAAATATGTTGATTGTTATTTGACTGGCTCTGGAGCTTAAGAATCAAATTAAGAAATTTAATAATATTACATCAACTCATTCTTGTTACAGGTTTATTTAAACAGTAATCTGTTAGTTTATTTCAAAAGCCACATTAGGAAAATCTAATTTGACTGTGATCTGCGATTTGTCATTACTTCATTCTCGGTCACAGACACCACACATACAGCTGCTGAGTCGAAAAGGAATGTTGGCATTTCATGCCGACTGCACACAATCTATTTCTTACTTGGTCTGCACTATTGTGTCCTATGGGCAGGCTCTGTTTTGATTTTAGGCATCTAATACTATTTACCTTAATATTAGATGTTTAGCAGAACATCTTGTCCACTGAAAAAGAAGCTCTCATTCTACATAGCCTTGTTGCAGAGAGGAAAGTGCCTCTGAAGCCTTCCAAAGGGAGATCCTGTGTGCTCAATTTCAGTTTCTAAACTTAGCAGACAGGAATTTCCTCTGAGGACAGCGAAAGGCACCTACTGTTCTGCTGAATAACCAGGCAGCGTAAGGACATGCATAGAAAGACTTCTTCAGCAGTCAGTGAAGCGTAGGGCAAAGCCTAGGGCCTGACAGAGGTGGGTTGGCCCTCAAGTCCGGGTGACTGTCCCACACAGTGTGTTGTTTTTTTTTAAATGAGCTTGTATGCTCTTTCTGGTGAATAGTTGCCCAAAAAATAACTTCTTGCAAAGAGTGGCTGGGAAGTATGCCACAGTACTTCCAAAGCATTGGCAGCATCCTTTTCTTCAGTACCAATTGGCGTTGTAGTCTTGTCTTTGTTAAACCCAATACCAGTGTGTATGTGCTTGGTAGCAGGTGTGAGACAACAACTGATCTTTTCCTGCTTGTTTTTCAGACATGTTTTACATTATTTTGCATAAGAATTATGAATATATATATATATATATGTATGTATATGTATATATATTTGCCTACTGCCACCTATTCTCTAAGAGCAGTAAGGTGGTTCAGACTCTGTGGATTTCAGTATCTGGTGGTGGGCATTTTCTTTGGGTTGATCCTGCAGAGCCCCTCACACAGCATGTGGGGCTGTGAGGGATTGCCTCGGTGCCTTGCCTTTCCTTGCCTCCTGTCTTTCCCTGTGTGCTGTCAGTGGGGCTCAGGATTCATCTTGCCTGCGTGGCTATCTGCATCCCCGGCAGTTACCTCACTCTCTGCCCTGTTGGAGCTGTCTAATGTAGGGACAGCGAGAGGCTCCAGCCTGTGAGCTCCCGTTCCCCTCCGTCGCCCATGGGTGGTGCAGCTGCCTGGGACACACGTCAGCGCTGCAGGTCCCTGGCGCGAGGTGAGGCCATGGCAATCCACAGCGCCTGACTGGGGAGCTGCTGTGCCAGAAGCTGGGAGGGGCAGCATCCTGCTGAATGCTCCTGCATCTTCCCTTGCATCTCAGTCTGCCAGGTTTTAACCACAGAGAAATCAGTTTTTGGGGAGAAACTGGTTTTTTAATGCAGCCATTTTAAAGCTCGTTTTTGAAATGGCGCTTACCTAGCTGGGTCACAGGACAGTTTGGAATGCCTGTTTGAAAGCTTTGCTTTTCATGTCCTCTTAAACTGGATGGTGTCCGCATATGTTGCTGCTTTGTTTTGGGTCCACTGTAGTCTTAGAGGAACAAAATTCTTAGGAATAAAAATTGTGACAATGAAACACTAAGAGCCACGTGTTTGGCATTAGTTTTTATTTACATAAACAGAATGTAATTTGCTTGCATATTTGTAAAGTGACCAAGTATGACTATTTTTTCTCAGGGAAATTGCCTCCTTGCTGAAAGCGGTATGTTGGCTGAGCATCCAACTCTTGGAAGCTTACTCAGTAGTTCTTTTGGAATGAGTTTATAGTTCTCCTTCAGTTCAACAAACCAAATCAGTAATGTAAAGTTATAGATAAATAAAGTCATTATTTCAAGCAGAGTACTTCAGTGAAATTTCTTGCCTGTGACAGTGGTAGTTTATGGTAGTTGCTATGCCTTACAAAATAAGGACTAAGAATTGTTTATTATTCTCAGATAATACACTCTGGCTGGTAATAAATATTGCAACATTATGTAGATTTCAGTAGGCTTTGCATTGTAAACAGCATTTCATCGTTTCTATGGTGTGTTTTACAAACTCATTTTGACATGTAACATCTAACAAAGAGCAGATTTGCCTCTATATGCCTAACACCACTGATGCTTATTACACAGCAAGAATAGCATCATATATTCAGAACCAAATCTCACATGTGCTCCAGAAATCTTTATGAAGCCAAGGGAGGAGAAGGCATTAGTCCCCACCTCGAAGACCAGTAAAACTTTTTTAGGGTCCCTCACAGAGGCAACATGCTGTTCTGTCAGCCTGGCAGCCTTTTCATCTCTAGGCAGAACTGATGCAGGATTGGCTCAGGAGCCATCTCCATGGCCCATGGTAATGCAAAACCTGAACAGAGCATTTATCTCCTTATTTCCTGCACACTTGTATGGTAAAATATATTAGTTTACAGCATGCATCTCTCCCTCCCTGAATATAAGATAATTTAAGATCTCCTACTTGAAGAAGCTGAGGGCAGAAGTAGGAGAGGCAGAAGGTAATTTTTAGCATGAACTTTTGACCAGTATGTTAGTAAAAATCCAAAGGTGCAGAAATTCCTCTTTCTAGACTTCTTTTCTCCTTAGGTGTTGTAAGTGGAGGAAACTCCTTTGATTTTTTCCTTTCAAATGTCAAGGAAAAGAGGAACTGTGCTTATAAACTGACAATGCTTCAGATAGTGTATTGTTTTTCTGGAGTAAGGGAGAGACACAAGTTTCAGAGAGGAAATCCTGTCTACTTGTAGTTATAGCTGCAGTTAATTCACAGAGATAGGATTTGTCATTTGTATGTGACTGCTCTGACCTTTAACATGAATTCCTCTTTAGGCTGAGCTGTGTGCCTCAGAGTGCTTGTATGAAAATGAGATTAGGGACCTACCCCTGTTCTCTTTGGCTACTTTATCTGGTTGATATATTGATGCTAATGTGATCATCATACTTTATTTTTAAAATCTCTGGCATCTATTACTGCAGTACAGTAGGAGTTAGTTTTGGATACTGCAGTTAACAAAAGAGAGACTCCACTACAGACAGACAGCATAGCCACCATACCAATGTACTCTCTTAAATTAGTACATGCTTTTCAAATCTGATTTTTTTTTCCTAGATCACTTTTTTCCTTCCTTCTTTTCTTCAGTGTAAATCACCTTCTGTGGTTTATTTTTATTTCTTTTGATGTTTGTATCTTTGTTTCCATCAGCTATTCATTTTCTACACTGGTATAGATTGTTTTCCTGCTTTGGTTGCAATCATTACTACTATTGTGCTATTCATTATAGGGAACTTTCACCTCATTTTTTCCTTCCACTTGCACACAAAATACTTTGTCCTGAGTTTTCAAAAAACATAAGCAAGGGTGTTTCAGCA